AATCCTGGAGTTCTACAGCAAAATTTTGAACTGTGGCATCAATGTCATTTTCAGTCTTCAAAATATCCACATCAAATGAGGGAAGTCAGGGCTGTATTATGAAAAAGTTTCCAGTCTACGGTTTGTTTTCAGCACTGGAATTTTCTGAGGGCTTTGCTTAATCTGGAAGTCTTTGGAATGTGATCTGTGGATAAATATGAGATCATCTTGAGTGACACTGAGACATTTTCAGATGAAAGAAAAAAGTCCGTTATGTAATGCCGTCTGCATAGGATGCTAAGGTGTAGCTTCCTCAGCGATGAACAAAGAGACAGGATTGTTTTCCACATAATTGTGATTCTTCTTTTTCTGTTGATAGCTGATAACCATACATCAGACTGATAGCCAGTCAACATTCTTAGCATTCCAATCCTTTCCTATGATACAGTGTTCCTAGCTTCGTAACAGTTTGTCAAGTTCAATGTTAGTCAAAAGATTGTTTGGTGGTAGCACAAGGAATAAAAATTAATTTTCCCTAGCTTGGGAAGCTTCTTTACAATTTCAGAGGCTTTGATGTTGTCCAAATTTATCTAACATGCTTCATAAAAGCACTTCACATAGATGAAAACACAACCGCCTCTATGGCACCATCTGTCACACCAAAATAACTATAGTTCACTATTCTAAGACTTTTGCTCTGAACCATGTGTGTTTTTGTGATTAAACAAATGTTCACATGCTCTGTTCTGAAGAAATCATGCAGTTCGTGAACTTTTGAAATGGCTTGACAAAGCTTGGTTATTTATTATAGCACATTATTTTTAACTGCCTTTTTACAAATGATATCTCATGGAGTATTTTACAAAGGAGATAGTTTGTATTCACATTATATATGGGGAAAATTATAAAAACTTAATACAACTAGGTCATTTGACCTCTGAGAATCAAACCTCAGATGATCTACCAGCTTCCAATGGCCTTGCCCAGTACAGGCAAAATATGTGTCTAATTAAACCACATTAAATTTTTTATTTCCCTTTATCCAAATCTGCAGCATATTTTTACAGTCAGAATTAACAATAGAAACATGTATATTAAATCTATTAGTCACATTGCTTTGGCTAACCATTCAATGTATTTTATTATGGAGATCATTAAAGAGCAAAGGGAAATGAAAACTGCATAACTACCGCATTTCATGGTGCACTGCAAATTCTTTTTTTTTCTTTCTTTCAAAATCAAATATCCATCTCTCTTTAGTGCTGGCAAGTTAAGTTGCAGCAAGTTAACTCAGATTTGTGTTATGTTCAAGAACAAATATATATATACATACAAGAAAAATTACGAATATGTAAAAGATTAAATTAGCACCATAAATTTCCCTTCTCGATTCTAAAAATAATAACCTCTCTTTGCACTGCATCATTTCTAGTTTAATCCAGGTCATATGATTCTTACATAATTCTGATGATGTAAATGGAACTAAAGCTACCAATAGTAATTTTACAGCAATATAAAGTATTCAATCAAAATGCACTGAGAACCAAAACTAACTCAGTCTGAACATAACACACTTGCTTTCAATGCTTTGGCCTAACTGGACTGCTGTCTGTCTGCTGCTTCCTTCTTGCTGCAAAGTTACCAAAAATGTAAACCTCTTGGAATAGGCACAATTGATGTGCCAACTTGATTGTGGCTGCAACATATTTGCTGAAATAAAAATTGAATTAAATATACCTTGACTGGCAAATTCCTTACTCATAGTGAATCGTTTCAGCATTCTACAATATCAAAATTCTGGCTGTTCATTATGGATTCAATCGCTTGTGTTTTACTACAGAATGTATATATATATATTTGAAAAATTAAACAACATTAATTATAAACTTCAGAGCATGGAACACAGCAAGGGTGGCCAAACATCATATCAGTAAGAGCCCCATGTTGAAATTCAGCATAGTCACTAGGTGATAACTGTTTGCTAACATAGATAACATTCATAGAACATTCACAAGCAAATCTAACATTTAAAGATATTTTTTTTATATAAAACTGTTGATAGAATCACTACAATATTTTTTGTATGTTTTTGAACAACATTATTAAGTTTCTTAACTAACAAGAAATGGAATTAAATACTAATGTTTGGACATTGATTCATTTAAATTTACCGATAAATTTATAATAAGAAAAGAAATAATTACTTTCTTTTGGTTACTGGGTAGTTTCAGTTTATCATATTTCACAAATATCCTATAGTGTGCAAGTTAATTGGGACAAAGCAATTTTTTTGATAATTTACATACATACCTTCATCTAGAGTGATAATAAAGATATTAACAGGAAATATGCCCTCCTTTAGCAGAAATGGTCTCTAGAATACACTTAGGGATTAACTATACAGTCCTGTGCATCTACGTTTTACTTCATCATGCAACTATACTTTTATAGCATTCTTAATCATACGCTCTTTTGTTAAACAATTAATTTTGCTATGATGAATTGTATGACAATGATATTGTTTCTTGAGAATGTGCAGCAAGTTTTCGATTGGATTTAAATCTGGTGAATTTACAGACCAATTTAACACAATAATTTTAATTTTTAACATGAACCTTCAGAGCGATTTGGAAATGTGGCATGGAGCGTATTAATGTTGAAATGTCCCTGCAGAGCTCTTCAAGAATGGCACAATTTTATATCTAAAAATTTCTATATAATTCAATGAATTTATTATTCTTTAATAGGAACCAGACTTCTAGTGTCATCTGCAATGAAAAGACCCCTAAACATTTGTTTTTGAGGTTATTTTATGCTTTGTTGGACATGTTGAGGTCTTACTGAATCACCCTTGCTTTGTCCTGACAATGTTAGATGCGTAACCATGAAAAAAAAAAAAAAAAAAAAAAAAAGAGCTTTGTTCCTAAAAACAACCTTTTCCATGTCATTATGATCCAAGATTCATATTTTTTGGAGCACAATAAACATTTTGGCTTCATTTGATGCACCAAAAGTTGTTTTTTAATCGGCTATCTTGCCTTCTGACCAGCAGTGAGAAGTCTACACCATCATTTGAAGGATGATATACCAATAGACAAGAGATCTCTTTTAAGGTCTATGCTAGTTTTTGTTGGATTAACAATGTTATTTCAGAGAGAGAATCAACCAGATTTTGGAACTGGCTCAAAATCCTTTTCATTCTACATTTGCCCTTCTTTCTGTAGAAAATGATCCAGTTTCATTGTGTCTGCTCAGAATCCGAGAAACACTTGATTTTTGAAAACCAGTTGGGGAAGCAATACTGCTTAAAGTTATGGATGTGAGACTGTTAAATGCAATACTCTTTGCTCTCTTTCTAGGCATTATAAAAGTACACCAATAGAAACAAATGCAGAGTATTTAAAAAGTAAAATTAACATCCTCTTCTCACAAAAACAAGCTTAAAAATGGTGCAGTAAATGGATTTAATAACGGGAACGGGAACACATTATTTACTTTCTAAACGAATTTTTTTTTTTTTTTTTTTTTGCCTAGATGTTTTTAAAAACACCTCTGCATAACCAGTGCTAAACCGTGGAAATTTTAAAATAGGGCTCACCTTTCTTGTTATTTTAAAAAATATAAAAACGAATATATCTAGAAAACCAAATTTGCCAACACACTTTTTTTTTTAAATTAAAAGGTATTAAAGACGTTAAAATCACAAACCCTACGGATTGGATGGCTATTTAGTTATCGAAGCCTGAGGGCTATCTGCCTGAAGGAGGATGCCTTCGTGGAGGACTTTCTAAGGAACGGCTGTATACATTTACAATGGAAAAAATGAAATCCCATGCAGCCAGCCCGTTCGCAGGATTCGAATCTCAGACCGAACTACCAGTGTTCAGCATCTTTACCACTCAGCCATGGTGGGCCTATAAATCAATGAAATAAGTTTAATTATATGGGACACTTTATGTCAGATACTGCCTACATTATTTCCTTCTTTTACGACACACGATTTGTCAGTAGATTCTATGATCATGCAATCATATTTCAAAAGTGCTTTCACATAAGGTTTAGGATTAAATTCTCTCTGAAATTTCTCATTTAAGGGAATTGTGATAAAATTTGAAATATGTTATACAGTCAAAACAGTTCTTATTGTGGAAATATAGTTTACCAACCTGAAAGCTTGTTCTGTTTTAGTTCTACTACATGCATACAGACTATAAAGAGTCCAGCTTCTTTTTACACTATTAGGAATTTCATTAGGCAATTTTTATGTTAAATTTATTTCAACAAAATCCCAAAGATTCTCATTTCATATTTTAATATGATATTAAATTATGCCTTATTTTATCTTCTTCTGGCCATAGGCATTTTTCTTCTTTCATATCCCATGTCTATGTATAGCCAACATTAAAAATCACTTTTAATTCATCATCACTGAATTCTTCCCAATCAAAATTTTTTTATTTTATAATTATTTACTGCAATAACCTATCTTGTAAAGCAGCTAAGTAATTTTTCTCATGCCAATCTGTAAAATTTATTCATGTATTCAATCATTAATCCTTCAAATTCCTTTGCTTTTAACATATAATTCATCTGCTTTAAGCAAATACGAAGGCAACTGGTTAGCAAATTAGAAACAAATTTAGCAAAGGGTTCATCCCAGCCTCTGTGAATCCCCTATAGTTCACTAGAAAATAATATATTAATACTGTTAAATACATTTATGTGAATTTCTGCTTACCTGTTAATGATCAAACTAAATCAGATCTATTTCCATAAATTGAACAATTACCATTAACTTCAGAAAGACTTTGACAAAAGCCAAATGAATTTATCCTATAAAACTCCGCTATTATCGCAGACCATATTTTAAATTATGAGGCTAAGGTACATAAGTCATACTTCATTTCTAAATTTACACTGAAAACACATTTCCTATCGTACAGCATACAGAAATATAAGCTTCAGTACTTCTCTGCATATAAAAATTTTTAGATCATACAAATATTAAAACTAAAACCTACTTTTATAATAACAGCTCTCGCAGGTAAGTTCACACCCCAGGCTAATGTAGATGTGCACACCAAAACTTTTATGCAACCTTCCCTAAAATACTTTTCCACCAAATTTCGATCAGATCTCAGCATGCCAGCATGATGAATAGCAAATCCACATTCAAAGAGTTGTCGAAGTTCCTTGTTTCTCGATTTTAGTACCTAAATGGATATATTAACTTTAACTTACAAAGCATATATTATTAAATTCAGCATGACTTAAAATTCTTATTTTGCAAATTTTTTTTTGCAAATTTTTATTAATTCACATCTATTCATATAAAAACCTGACATGATTAATCCACTTAAAACCAATTCAAATTTAATACTGTTTTTACTTTTCATACAAATGACTTTGCTATTTCCAGAATACTGATGTTCGAACTTTTCCTAGTATAGAGGGCGCTGGGACGCTGAAAGAATTCTTCTGTGTTTTTACATTATGTAACTGTAGTTCGCCCTTGCGATGTGTCTGTATTACTGTGATATATTTTGGTGTTTTCATTAAATATAAATGAAAGTTATCGGCATGTATTTTTGTATACCAAATCAAGATCAAATTTAGACAAATGCAAACTCGTCGAAACAAAAATAGCGTTCGAACAAGAATCGTCAAGTGTTATTACTCGCCTTTCGAATTTCGCATACGTATCGTTAATCGCTTCATAATATGTGGTGCTGTCGGTCAGGAAATATCGCAATGGTGCGGTGAGTAAATAGTTTAGTTGAAAATTTGTTTGAATAGAATATTTTATAATTGTTGAAGTAGTAAAGTTGTTTGATGTCGTTGATCTTGTTTGGTAAAAAGTTTACAACTTTCGGTTTCGCATTTACTGAGGTTTGCATTGATATTTGGAAGTTTGAATGTATTTGCAAGTAAGAAAATGTTGTGCTTTCTTAGAATTAGAATTTGTTGTTAATGCTTGAAGTGTGATTTGTTGTTGAAAATTACAGTTTGTTTTCTTAGAATTCTAGAATTAGAATTTATTGTTAAAGTATTTGAGGGGTAAAATTTGTTGCTAGAAACTGTGAAATGGCTAAATTGTTAAAGCTTCGAACTAAGTGTGACACACATCATTGTGAACAAACTTTAAAGTTAGTAGAAAAAACAAACAAATATTTGAATGAATCAGATATTGACATAGATGTATGTGATTCATATTTAGAACAGTTGAATAGTAAAATTGAAATTATTAACATACTAAATAGTGACATTGATGAATTGTTGAAAGAAGAACAATGAAATTAAGGATGAAATTAACACAGTAGATGAATATAACGAAAAAATAATACCAGTTAAAGTAAAATGTTGCAAAACAAAATTAATCAATTGGAAAATCAGTCAGTTCAGTCAGTTCCATATCAGTCAGGTGAAACAAACAGTAAATCCAGAAAATGTTCACGTAGAAAATAAAAATTTGCATTTAGAAAACAGAACTAAACTTCCTAAACTTTCACTTCGATTCTATGGTGAGCCTTCAGAATATTTAGATTTTTGGAATCAGTTTGAGAATTCTGTGCATAATAATTCTAATTTAACTGAGGTTGACAAATTTTACTATTTAAAGTCATTATTAGGTGGTAAAGCCCTAGCTAGCATTAAAGGATTCTCAATTACTCCAGAGAATTATAAACAGGCTGTTAAATTAATTTCTGAAACATTTGGCCAAAGAAACATTTTAATAAATGCTCACTTGTCAAATTTATTAACTCTGTAAAAAATGTTTCCAACATCCAGGCTCTTCGTAACCTTTATTTTCAAGCCCAAACTCAAATTAGATGTTTAGAGGAATTAAATGTCAAATCGGAAACATACAACAATACTGACTAACATAATACTAAAAAATCTGCCAGTAGAATTGACTCTTGAATTTTCAAAGCAAAATATAAATAATTGTCATGATTTACAGGAATTGATGAAGTTTTTACATAATGCTATTAGTGCAAAAGAAAAGGCATTCCGTATTAATTCTAATAATGTATCATCATATAATAATTTTCATTCTAACCAACACAAACAAAACAATTTTCGAAATCAGAAACGAAACTTCCCTCCAGAGTTATAATAATCAACACGCGCCGGTAACGGAATTTATGGCGAAAACTTCCCAAGTTTGTTTATTCTGTGGTCAAGGTCATTGTAAGACTGAATGTGAAAACATGACTGTACAGCAAAAAAGGGATAAATTAATTAAGGAAAGGAACTGTTTTGTGAAAAAATGTAATGCTAAACAGTGTTCATTCTGCTTTGGTAGACATGCCAAAGCTATTTGTTTTAAATTTGAAAATTCTAGCAAGTGTAAATCTTATTCAAAACCGGAAGAAGAAAAACCAAAGGAAATGGAAATTCAGCCTACTATTTCAAAATCAGTTGTAAATGATAGGAATATGATTTTATTGCAGTGTGTTAGGACAGAAATTGTTGGTCGTAAATCGTCAGGTATAGTTATTGCAATGTTTGATAACGGTAGTGAGAAAAGTTTCATTAAAAGAAATGTATCTATGAAGTTGGGATTAAAATGTCTAGGGTCAAAAACATTAAAGATTTATTCATTTGGAGCAAAGGATCCTTGGTTGCAAACATGTCGCAGAGTTGAAGTGAGATTGCGAAATATTTTAGATGGAAAGAAGTCGTAATACAGGCGTTGGAAACAGATGAAATTTCGAGGGCGGCGATTAATTTGCCGAATGAGAGTACAAGAGCTGAAAAATGGAAGCCAAGGGATTAACTTTAATGTGGGGATATAATCAAGCGTCAGACGATAATGAAATTTCCTTGTTAATAGGTATAGATTTTTATTGGAATTTGACAAAAGGTTTTGAAAGGTTAAATATGTCTTTGGTAGCTGTAAACACAGAACTTGGATGGTCCTTGCAGGGAAATTGTGGTGATCTGAGTAAAATGGCTGCTGTAAACTTAGTTTTGGGTGATCAAAGCACTGTGTCAACTGAACTCAGGTATTTCTGGAAACTGGAAAGTTTAGGTATTGAAAACAAGGAAGCAGAGTGTTTGACTTTAGTGGAACAGGAGATACTTGATGAATTTAATAATTCTGTTGGGTTCGTAGATGGAAGGTATTGTGTAAAGTTGCCGTGGAAACCAGGTATGCAGGAGAAATTAGCAAATAATAGAGAAGTGGCTCGGAAACGTTTTGATGGTCTGATTAGGAGATTTAGAAATGATACAGCTTTTTATGAGGATTATAAAAGGCTAATTGATGATTATCGTAAGGACGGTATCATTGAGAATTCGTCGTCAGATATTAAAGTGTCATATTCTGAGCAATCATTCTACTTACCCCACCATGCGGTCATTCGCGAGGACAAATCTACTAGTCGACTTCGAATCGTGTTTGATGGTTCTTCTCATCAAGGAGACCAACTTTCAATTAATGACTGTTTATTTAAAGGACTAAACTTGTATCCAAATCTTTTTGAAATGATTTTAAATTTTCGACAAAATACAATCGCCTTTACAGCGGATATAAAGCAAGTGTATCTACAAATTATGATCGATCCTAGTGATAGAAAATTTACTAGATTCTTCTGGACTGATGATATCGGTTCTAATTCATATCAAGAAATGAACTTTAGTAGAGTTTTATTTGGACTAAAACCAAGCTCATATTTATTAGCTGTAACTCTGAAATATCATTTTGATAAATGTAAACAAGAATTTCTTGATACTTGCAAATTACTATCAGAATGTTTTTATGTCGAAGATTTAATTGGAGGCGAAGAAAACTTGCAAGCTGCTTTGAAAATTACAACTGAGAGTGCAGAAATTCTCAAAAGATGTGGCATGATATTACGAAAATGGAAAACCAATTCCATGGAACTGCGTAAGCTGTGGAAAGATGCTGAGTTCGACATCGATGAGGAAAAGAGCTCAAGTACGGGACTTGGCTCACCATCCAAGGTGTTGGGTCTAGTTTGGGATCCAGATGCGGACAGTATATCTTTCAACGTAAAAGAATTATCAAAGTTTGTCAAGAACGGAACTGCTTCAAAAAGCTTTATTCTTCGATTAGTGGGTCGTATTTATGATCCTATCAGATTTCTTGGACCTTTCATTATAAAGTTGAAGTGCATTCTACAAGAACTGTGGAATCATGACATGGACTGGTATGACAAACTTCCATCGTCACTGGATCACAAGTGGCAGTTGTGGTGCAGTGAAGTCGAACACTTAGAAGATCTCCAGATTCCTAGATGTTGTTTTTCAAATTTGAACTGTAAATTTATTTCATTTGAAATTCATTCTTTTTCAGATTCATCTCTTTTATCCTATGGAACTATGTTGTATTTAAGAGCTATATCTGAAGATGGAAGGATAAGTATTACTTTTATATGTTCTAAAAGTCGTGTAGCTCCTCTGAAAGGTCTTATATTACCAAGACTGGAATTAATGGGAGCTTTATTGTTCGCAAGATTAATCCATCAAGTAAATAAATGTCTTAAATTTAATACTTCTAGTTATTTTTGGACTGACTCAATGATTATGTTATGTTGGATTAAGGGACAATCTAGTAAATACAAAACTTTCGTAAAAAATAGAATACAAGAAATTCAATCTTTATCAGATACCAATAATTGGGCTCATTGCCCTGGTCAGGATAACCCTGCAGATATCTTGTCCAGAGGAATTTCTGCAGCAAATTTAGCTACAAACCAGCTTTGGTGGCACGGTCCACCATGGCTAAGCCAATCACCTGAATACTGGCCTACTGAGAGAGACAGAACTTAAAATCTATAGACGAAGACTTAGAGCTGAAAAAAGAATTTGAAAGTACAGTGCAAAATAACTGTTTGGTAGAAAATTTGAAATTTATTTTAGATTTAAGGAAATATAGTTGTTTGTTAAAAGTACTAAGAGTAACTGCACTAGTTAAACGGTTTGTTAATAAACTTCAAAAATGACAAACGATTGCAGGTCCCCTCACAGCAGAAGAACTTAAAAATGCTGAAATAGACTGGATAAAACATGAGCAAAACATTGAGTTCAACTTAGAATTACAAAATCTTAAAAAAGGTAAGTCGATTGCTAAAAACTCTCCACTTTCAAATTTAGCCCCATTTCTCAACAGTTGTGGTGTATTGCGCATAAAAGGAAGATTAGAAGAAGGAGCATTTACAAAGGATGAAGCTCATCCTATGCTTCTTCCTAAGTAGTCTAAATCTACAGAGTTAATTATTATTTGAGAGCATAATAAAATTTTTCATGGTGGAGTTACATTTACGCTAGCCAAAATTAGGTCTAGATTTTGGATTCCACGAGGTAGACAAATTGTAAAAAGAGTATTAGGTAACTGTCTAACTTGTCGAAAGTATAAGTTGAAACCAGCTAAACAAATAACTAGTCAACTACCTAAAAGTAGAATTACTGAAAACCCACCTTTTACTGTAACTGGCATAGATTTCACTAGCCCAGTTTTAATAAAATCAGGAAAGGATACGCCTCAAAAGGCTTATATAACATTATTTACATGTAGTGTTAGTAGAGCTGTGCACATGGAATTAATCACAAATATGTCAACAAAAAATTTTATTTTGTCATTAAGGAGATTTTTAGCTAGGAGAGGAAATTGTAAAGTTGTCATTTCCAACAATGCTAAGATCTTTAGAGCAACTAATGAAATTCTTAAAGAATTTTAAAAAATTATAATAGATTCAAAATTGAAAGATTTCATATCAATAAATAGCATAACTTGGCAATATATTGCGCCTCACGTGCCTTGGTGGGGTGGTTTTTATGAAAGTTTTATGAAAATATCAAAGATCCTTTGAGAAAGATTCTCGGAAGGGCTCTTCTTAACTTTGAGGAAATGATGACTATTCTATCAGAAATTGAGTTAGTCCTAAATCATAGACCACTTACTTATGTCCACAACGAAATAAAAGAGCCAGAAGCTCTTACACCTGCCCATTTCTTGTTTCCAGAGCAAGAAAATATTTCTTATCCTGTACATTTAGCCGACCTTTTCAGGAATAAACCATTGAACAGGCAGACTTTGACTAGAAGAAAACTGTATCAAACTAATCTTTTGAAACAAATTTGGAAAAAGTGGAAGGAGAATTATCTCCTCAAATTATGGTCTCGCATACTTTTCTCAATCCATCTCATGAAAGGAATCTTAAAAAGGGTGAGGTTGTATTGCTGGAGGGGTCAAATCAAAATTTTTATGGCCTATTGGAATTATAGAAGAAGTTTATAAAGATAGGGATGGATATGTGCGTTCATGTTTGATTCGTACTTCTCAAGGACTTTACCGAAGACCCGTCCAATTGATCTATCCTTTTGAAGTTTAAAGTTATACATATATATATGTTTGTGTCATGTATTGTATTAATTTGCAATGTAGTTTTCAGTATTGATTTGTGATTATATCTACATATATTATTGATGTGTAAATTTAGTGTGCTCTTAACAGAGCACAGGTGGGGTGTGTTCGAACTTTTCATAGTATAGAGGGCGCTGTTGCGCTGAAAGAATTCTTCTGTGTTTTTACATTATGTAACCGTGGTTCGCCGTTGCGATGTATGTGTATTACTGTGATATATTTTGGTGTTTTCATTAAATATAAATGAAAGATATCGTCATGTATTTTTGTACACCAAATCAAGATCAAATTTAGACTAATGCAAACTCGTCGAAACAAAAATAGCGTTCGAACAAGAATCGTGAAGTGTTACTACTCGCCTTTCGAATTTTGCATATGAATCGTTAATCGCTTTGTAACAACTGATAACACTACACAATAATTAATTTAACGAAACAATTTTTTTATTTTAAGTAAACATACATTAGCCATTTCCTGTTCCATTAAATACAAAGTAAATTTTTACTAACCCTTTTTGATCCAATTACTTAGAAAATTAGTCAATTACATGAAATAAGATATATTTCATTTGTATTTGTCTGTTCTGTGGTAGCCAGTATATTGGCCACTATAGCAAAACTGTTCTCCAAATGTACTAATATGAGGTACTTTTCAATAACAACAATAAAAAGAATTAATGTAATATTTGAAATTAATTTCTAATTAATAGCATCAATGTGTAAAATAAGTTATAATTTCATATTTATAACAATTATAATTACTGTTCCTCAGATGACTCTTTTTTTTTTTTTCTTTCTGGGTAACTTTTTCAAAAGTAATGTGCAACAAGTAATTTTATTGGAAATTATGATATGCAATAACTGTAGCAAAAAAAAAAAAAAAAAAAAAAAAAAAAAAACAGAATAAAACTCTGCAAAAGAGCAGAAAGTGGTATTCTGACACATTTTAGTCTTTTATTTATAAACACAGTTCAAAATGAAAAAAAAAAAAAAAAAAAAAAAAAAGTTGACATTAATTGAAAGTTACACAGTACAAGGTCCAAATGATAAATACATACACACTTTTTAATATTTAAAGCAGTAACAATACAAAAATTAATACACACAATAAGAAATTAACAGCTTAAAAATACATCTCTTTCTACTAATATCCTAAAGCAATAATTTTGATGAATATTTATCTAAAATTTTACTTAAATAAATCGGATCACTCTTTCTTGGCCGGGGTTTTTGCTCATCATTTTCCTTAAGATAGTTAATCCAATTGTTTTCATTATTGTTTATCGTAAATGCAATTCATTTAAATTTTAATAGGAATAGTCAAGCATGTTATTTATACTAACTAAAATCTAATGACACAATGGATTAAAATACAGTTTGTAATTTGTGCTAACCAAAATTCATGTTAAGCAATAAAACTTTCTATAAAATCATTACATCACTGCCGGGAATAGAATTTTTTTATGCTAACAGAGTGTTTGCCTTAAGTGAGTGCATGTTAAGGAGGATTTACTTTAACAGTTTACAACTAATGTTTTATCATGATATTTCAACAGTGAATGGCTGCTTCTGCACTCATTTAAGCACTTGCTGGTTTACCAGTAACCAAGAACCAAGGGGAAAATGGTGGAAAATTTAGGCACTATTGAAAAAAAAAAAAAAAAAAAAAAAAAAAAAAAAAAAAAACAAAAAATTTTCAATATCAACAATAATTATTGTAAAAAGATAAAATCTTACACATTTCTGTGCAGCACCAAATTCAGATGAATTTTTCTGCTCAATGAATAAATGAGTCTGGTTATATTTGATGGCTAAATCTTTAAGAACTGTAGCTGTTTTCACAGTTGCATTTCTTGCATGGACAAAAACCATAACCTAAATAAAGATTAAAAAAATATATTTTTCCACAAAACACAAACACTCATAATTTAATTTTTAATTTAAGATACAGCTACACAATTAGAACAGTACATTCTGACCCAAGTGTCAGCCAAACAAGGTGAGCACCAACTCCATAGGTAAACATTAAGCAAATATAATTTTTCTTTCACCTTGGAAATAGTATCAAGTGCATCTTTTTGCTTGTGCAAACAATCAGAAACAGTTTAGATTATTAATAAGTGTCTGAAGAGTATTTACTTCTATCATAACATAGCTGCAGTAGCTTTCAGGCACTAAACTATACTGCTACTGCTATTTGTAATATAAATTATAGGTAATGAGAAACAAACAAACAAACAAAAAAACAAACAAAAAAACCAAAAAAACATGCTGTGTTTTATAAAATTTTTAATTCAGCACAGTTTCTTAAAATATGATATAAGCACCACTAATAGTATATTACATTAATTTTGGTGATAAATTTTTATACAAAAGGTTTAAATGAATGTAAAATGATCCCCCTTTTGACAAATATATTTGCACATGATGGTACATATATTTTTTATTCTTATTCATGCGGTGCAAAATTAGAAAAAGTCTGAGAACCTTCAAAACAGATGGTGTTCCAACTTAACTGTTGGCTTTTCCCACAACACAGGAAAATATAATTAGAACAGAACAATGTAATAAAAGAATGTATAGATTGATCCAGCACTGTGCCACATAGGATATTACCATTTGTTTTAAACATGCTTCTTATTGTTTATAATGACTAATTAAAAAGGCACCTTGCATGAAATAAATGATACAATATCTCAAAAATGAAGACACAACAGAGAGAAAAGGGGAAGGAACACAGAAATGATCTAATAAAAATCTGATATTCCTTTCTGCTCCACTGTTTTGAGTCTAGCCACTATGTTTCACCAATTAATAAAAATATTTGTCAAAGGGCCATCATTAGTTTATCATTTAGTTTCAACATTTTCTTCTTTGGTCAACAACACTTAACATCACAAAACATTCTCCTAAAAAGCACCATAAGAGCAAGTAAACTTAAGTATCATGGCTTCGATTAAAATAAATTCTTTATTCCTCAATATTCCAGTAGAAGATGAGCTTAAATGATTAGAAAGAAAGACTCGGCAATTTCATTTCTCAGATATGAAAACTAATAATATTTTCCATTAAACATTGTCTTAATAAAACATATTTTATTTCTAAATATAATTATTATTATCAAACTGAAGAATTACCTATGAAGAGTTCCTTCAGTTCTATTCCCTCTTTTATTACAAATCCAAATTATTTAAGAAAACATAAATGATGATGTAAATTTTTGTAAATATATGTTTCTTTTTACTAGCTTATGTTTTATATATTCTTGTAATGTTACTAGTGTTTTTAACTTATTTATTTCAAGCTTTTTATATAATAATTTTAAATATTTTTGCTTAATCAAATACGTGCCCAGCTACTGAATTTGTAAGTACTTATTCTGAGTATTATGCTGTAGGTCTTTTAATTCTGAACTGATTGATATTCGACTTGCAAAACTAGCTTGATTAGAATCAAAATATAGGTATAAGCCCTTCTATTGCTTTCTGACGATAATTTTTATTGCTATGTCGAACACATCTGATGATTTCTCATCAAGAGGGTGACAATTTGGAAATTCCAAAAATCCATTTTTTAGGCCCTCATTTTTTTTAAAGCTATGCTTGCCCTCCTGTGAGGGTAAGCATAGCTTTCAGACTATACGCATAGCTTAATACAAGTGCTTATCCTCCTGTGAGAGCATGTATTCTAACTTGGACTTCAATGGATTTCAATGTTCAACGAAAGAGCTGAAAGCAGGTAAATAAATTCTCACTCAGTCGGTTTCCCCCCTTTTGTTAGACAGACATGAGATGGGACTTTGGCCTCATTCTCACTGCATTGGACATCTCACTAATTGTCGTGGTGTTTTACTTCTAAAAGTAAAAGAAAATAACACTGTAAGAGCAAGTAAACTTAAGTATGTGATTTTGTTTTGTGAATAACTTTTTCATTCACGTAATTGGAATGGTGTAACATTTGGTGGAAGCAAGTAAAAAAATAATCTTGCCATTTTTCTGTTGCCTTGTGTTGTCGTCTATCAAGAATCACCATGACAATTTTGTGACTTTGACATACTTCATAAGCTTAGGTAATCCTTAGAATGTGAGCCTGTGATTGTGTTCTTTGATTAATTTTTCATTCAAGAAAATGTGCAGTGCCATTTTGGTAACCTTTGCCTTGTGTTGTCATCATTGCTTCAGTATGAAAGTATTGTGTCTTTTTCATATTTACCAAACATAACCAGCATTTAAGCATAATTGTGTCATCACAACAGATGCTGTCTACATTATTATTTGATGAACAAGTTATTCGTATGGATGGTTAAAGATTTTTGAATGCAGTCATGAGTGTCTGTTGGAGATAATGAATTCTTGTAATAATGGTGAAATGTATTTACCTTGTTAAATTCTTTTATATAATCTAGAATATTTCAGTAGCTAGTAGAAAAATAAAATAATCACATGTGAAAATGGTAGTTTTTCTTTTATTGTGGCATTATGCAAAACTAAGAAAGAGTAAGTACAATTTTCTTTCCATTTTATAGTAGTAAGTCTTAAGAAGGATTCATTAGACTTTAAAATTGGGTTATATGATAGACACTTCGCATGTATTTATTTCTATTTGAGGAACATTTGTTTACTGGGCACACTCTGGAATTTGATACTTATGGCTATTTCCATATCTTAATGCATACTTAACATCAATATAACATTTTCGGTGCCATGACAAAAAAGAAATGGATACCTTAACATTTTTGGGGCTGTTTCCTCCCAAAAAAATTTTAAGTATTAATTCAGGTTCAGAACCTATAAGATATGTGCCTAATAATCTAAATGGTTTCATATATGATTCCAGTAACTGAATGTATGTGATTATTAAAATATTAATGAGAATGTAAATTTAATTTTTTTTGTATGGTCATGTTTGGTGTAAATCATCAAAAATTCTTAAGTATGAAAAGTATATAATTGTATAACAATATTTAGAATTGAAATAGTAATATGATAAGACACAGTTATAATGATAAAAATATCAATCTATGGATGAAAGTAATAAGAGTACATAATGAAATATTGACTGATAGCTTAAATATTGCATATAGGTATATAATAATAAATATGTAACAATGGATGCATAATAATTGATGTCAAAGCATTTGAAGTATATTGATAAAATATATATCTGAATAATTGTGAATGAACAACTTATTTAGTATGTGCATTAGTAACAGTATTCAGTAATGTATGTGAATCAGTAATAGTATGTGTATTTGTAATCTATAATAGTTTAATAATACGTTGACATGTTAAAAAAGATAGGTCACTTAATGATTTAACAAAACTACTGAATACCAAGTTTGCAAAATCATAGTCCTTTGAGATGCTTCAGAATAATTTTACATCAATTAAGCTCAGAATCAGTCAATCAAGCAGTTAACTGATAAGGTGAATGCATATGCTGTTAAATATTTTTTATGTTATCCCAATTCAAGTGAGGAGGCACTTAACCTCACTCAAAAAACTATGCTTTCAAAATTCATTGAAGCACTCCAACCAGATTTAAGACTGGAGGGAAAAAAAACTTGGCCCTGCTGATTTTGCCACTGCTGTCAGATAAGCAAAAAATATTGGAAAAGCATTGGAAGATTCGGGTTCACAAACACTATATTACTCTCCTGATATAAATACTTTAATAATGCAACAAATGCAAAATTATAAAGCTATTGAGGAATGGTAAAAAAAGTTTTTTGGTGAATTTGTACTTAATGGTAATGTAAATAATTTAACTAAACTAGAAAATATTCTCAGAGCAGTGATAACAGAGAGTCTCCTCACATTTTTCAACAAAATCAATGGACTGAGTGCCCTTATTTTCCTTCAAACAATAGTTATTGACCATATAGACAGGCTAGAGGAAACTATAGGAAAAATTTTCTATACAGGCAGTTTTATCAGTAGAAGAAATATATACAATAATCAGTGCACTTATACTAGAGAAATATATTCCAAAATAATAGAAAGTTTATCTCAAGCAAAAGAAGATATAATACTCATAGGAACAATTAAACTCTTAAGGGGTGCTTATTCTCACAGATATACTGAGTTTTACTCAAATACTGAGAGAGAAAATAGAAAGAAAATGCACAAAAATAAGAGACACAACAAACCAAAACTAAAATATTCAGGAATAATGTTGAGGAAAACAGTGAAAAGAAATTAGTAGCTTTATGCCAAACTAACAATATTACCCAATTACCAATAATAAATATTAAATTTGGTGACATTTTTTTTGGTAGCATCATTGCTTGATTACAGGTGCAAATTTAAGCTTGATACAGCCAGACAATACAAAAGTTCCAAATTATACAAAAGTTAGTACATATGCAGGTCTGTAAGAATACATACACTGAATAATATCAACAGCCCATACATATCTGCTGTAAATTTAAAATTTCATACAGGAAATAAATGGCTTTCCAACCAGTTTTTTGTTACAGCATAACTGGAATGCAAAGTATCAAATAATATTAAGGTATGATTTTATACTGAAAAATAAGATACTAAGTAATACAAACAAAACTCAATTAATTATTGACAACACCCACTTTGATTTCATAGACAAGAAAAAATACGACTGACAATAAATTGGAAGTGAACAATGATATCAATAAAGATGATTCAGATATTGTAAGAGTAGTATGAAATACTAGAATTCTGCCCAACACTGCAGAGTTAGCAAAACTAAGCATTTCAGCTAATATGCAGCAAAACCAGCAAGTATTATTTTCCCCAGATTAAAAAAAAAAATTAGAAAAAATGGGCCTGACTAAACCAATACATGAGATAAGTGAGGAATAATATATTTTTACCATAAGTGAAAACAATTCTATTTCAAAAATTATTTTAAGGAAGGGTGAAAAAATTGGTAAGATATATAAAATAGAGGAAAATCAATTTGAGAAGCCTATAGAACAACAAAATTTACAAATTAACCAATATAACACTAAAATAAATTAGAAAATTACAAAAGGAGAAATTAGTCCCTGATGACTTTGATTTAAGCCACTTAGAAACTTAACAAAAGAACAGAATGATTGAAATGCTCACGAAAAGCCCAGTGGTATTTTTGAAATCATATTCCACTCTGAGAGAGACGAATGCTATGGTGCCGCAATTTAATCTACTACATAAGTTCCCAATTCAGACCAAACCATATACTATTCCTTATATTGCAAAGAAATATGCACAAGAGGAGATGATACTCTTGCTTAATATGACAGTAAAAAAGACAAGAATGTTTCCTAGAAGAAACTAATGTTTTCTTATTTATGAATCCAGTACTTCTTGCTGTTCAGCTCAATTCTGAACTTAACACATTCTAATTCTCTCCCATTTCTCATTACTTTAGTCACACTTATAAATCTAATTTTATTTGAACTAGCAAACTTTTCTCATCTTGATTTGCAGGATACTTCAAATAATGTCATTTTGTTAAACAAAAGTTGGCTTCATTTTATTCTTTCATTTTGAATGCCTCAGTCATTCAAGCAAAACCTTAATTAAATTATATAAGAATTATTGCAAGTGACAGAGCTTTTTCATTCCATATTATTGACTAAGAGGTTTGTTCATTTCATCACAAGCAAAAATAGCTTTCTACTCCCACTGATCAGAATGAAATATAGCACTTATTACATTCTCTCATTTAATTAGTTATAATGTTTCCCCTGTACAAAATGACTGGTGAGAAAACAATACCAGTTCTCTGCGGCTAAAATTACTAAAAAAAATAAATAAATAAAAAAGAGCCTACAAATTTTGAAATGGCTTTTTTGGAAACTTATGTTCTAATTAACTATAACAGAAAAAGTTTTATGTTTTATCTTCCTATTACAATTAATAATCTAGTTTCTGTTATAGTTATTGACTAGAAAAGGAAGATTACAAAACCTTTTTTGTATTATTTAATGATCTAAATTCTAATAACCACTCACCATTAGTCTTTACAGAATTTGATTCTTATTTGCTTCTAATTCATTGTTCTGTCAATATGTTAAATTAGGTTAGTTTATTCGAATATGACAAAAAAGACCAATGCTATCTGCTTAAGAGAAAATGTATGCCTTAATGCAAGACTTTCTAAGAGAAACTGTCTCGTATTTACATTAAACATGGGAAAACCAATTATTAATCCTGCTTCTTCGTCAGGTTGAACTCGCAGCATTCAGCAGTTTTAATCATCGTATTCACACATTCACTAAATAAAGAAATAATAGCACATGTTATGCTAATTCTTATAGATGATTTTTGGTTTATTATCATTTAGTTCACTTGGCCCATTCTTCTGCATACCTACCAAACTTGTAAGGATAGAAATTAAAAAAAAAAAAAAAATTGTGGAAAAAAAAAATCAGAGTTCAGAACAAGACATCTGAAATTTAAAAAAAAGTTTGTCTATATCTGGAACATAAGTGTGGAGGAGAAAGGTATTAAAAAAATGCAAAATTATTTCTAACACACTAGCTGATTTTGCTTTTGTTACAAAGAATCAGAAAATTCAGCTTCATAACACTTAATATCTTTTTTTATTTGACAACTAAGATAGTTTTGCACGGTTTGAACAGAGTTTGCAGTCACAGAGAAGCAAAATTGAGTCTTACCTTTTTGATAATGCGAAAAATGCACTCACATTCTACACTGTCGTAAGGTATGTTAATAGGGCTTTCACAATTTTCGTAATCCTGTCATATTTAGGAATTTCATCTATTATCTTCACCTTTACTATGAGACCAATCAATACATCCGTATTCACATGTTAATTCAATACCTTAAATTCTTCATACTGGAATGTTGTAAATTATTTTTGGAATTTATTCATTCTTTATCATATTTCTGTGTATCCAGTGTTGAAGTATGATTTCTGTGCATCTGGTATTGGTATATCCAGTAGTATTCTACCATGGAGTAGAAACGATAGTTTATTCACAAAATTATTAGACTGCAAGAAATAATATTTCACTTTTTAGTGCCTAATTTTTTATTATGCAATTATGTGCAATTTCAATGCACAGATGCAAAAATTTCTCTTTTCTCATTATGTTTAAAATATTTTTTATAATTCTCAAGTACAGTTTCTGATAACCAAATCTTCATCTTTTTTTCCTGATGATTTAACTGATGGTAAGGATTTTAATATTTTTTTTATTATTGAAGGCTTCATAAATTTAATAATAAATCCTTGGAACAATATCTCAAGCGTTTTCTTCAGAACACAAACCTCTTTTTTTTTTTTTTTTTTTTTTTTTTTGCAGACCATAATTGTATATTTAATTATTCAAAATCAAAAATGCATGATAATAAAAAATGAGAAAATGTTTTATTTAAGCCAGATAATGGAAATATTAAAAAAAACCATGCAGAAAAGATTGAAGAAATATATATTTTTGTAAAACAGTTTTTTTAAAAAATATTTTATATATTTTTTAAAATCCTTTTATTATGTTAACCATATGCTTTTGTCAAATGTAAACTTAGGGGCAGCATCTTATCCAAGAAGATGGCTACAAAAGATAGTTAATGAAAACTAGGGCATTGGTTACACAGGCAAAGAGAGAGAAAGAGTTATCAGAAATGTAAATACTTTCAAATTATTATATATAGTGCTAATAAAGTTTTGTTACTTTAAATGTGATGTTTTAATTCTATGCTTCCTGATATGTTTCAAAATTGTTTAAAAACGTAACGTAATTATGAAGAAATTATGAAGTAAACGTTCATAATTTCTTTTAAACTTTCTGTAGCTTATTTATGCTCCTCCTAATTTTGCACCGAGGCAAGTGCACTTGCCTCAAACTTGTTGTGATTGTTCTCGGGAATATTTTTGTTTTCTTTTTAGAAATAAATGCTTACATGAAGGCCGATATGTATTAGGTTGGTGTACTAATCTTATTAATATAGTTTTATAATGATGTTTAATTAACTGGAAATTTTAATCAAGAAATAATTACCTGATGCTTTTCAACCAAATGTGCAACTTTTCTATAACATATTTCATCCATATCTCTCAGTTGCTGAAGTGGATTGTTAGCTTTTACTCCAATAAATGTAGCACTCAGGGGAACAGGCCGGAACCGATCATCAAAGAAGAACAAGCCAATCATGGGATTAACTCTTAAGAAACTTGCTACATCAATATAATTTGGTAATGTTGCTGAGAGACCAACAATTCTGATCATGGACTGTGATGTCTCAATCTATAAAATTTTAAATACATATAACCGAAGATAAAAAAAATGAAAGTTAAAAATTTATATTAGTATGCTTGGCAAAGAATTTACTTATTATCTTACCTGTCTTAATGTTCTTGCTACGAGAGCTTCCAAAACAGGGCCCCTATCACCATCTAATAAATGAACTTCATCTAAAATAAGGAGTTTTACTAGTTGTGACAATGCAACATCTCCAGTTGATTTCCGAGTGACGACGTCCCATTTTTCTGGTGTTGTAACTAACATCTAACAAATAATAAAGAGATATTTTACCCCACAAAAAGTATTTTTATTTGTTAAATATTAATACAATATTTCTTCAAGTTTTTTTAAAAATATACTCTTAATATATTTAGTAAAGTGAAACTCACAACTTTCAGTTCAAAATACTTTCACCACTTTAGAATAAAATAAAATTATACTGATATTAACCACAGAAATAATTTGTCATGATTTTTATTATTTGTTCAAAGATATTTAACACAGCATTTAAATGTATGGTAAAATAAACAATGCCATTCTATGATATATCAGATCTTTATTTATCTTCACATATTTATTTCTTTGTATGCTGAATTAACTAACTGAAACTTTTAAAAGCACAGCACATATTTCTTAATATTTCATATCACTGTTTTATTCCTTACATTATCTCTATTAAAGTTTGCATAATGTACCTAATCCATGTGATTTATAACATACCTACATGATGATTTAAAAACAACTGAATTATTGTTATTAATAAATATGTCTATAACATATATTTTGTACTCTGTACAGAATAATCATTTACATGCCACCTAACATTGAACTTTATAGCAATTCTTAATATTCTTTTTTTTTTTTTTTTTAATTTGAAAAGGGGTGCAATTTAAAAAAAAAATTAAGGCTAATAAATAAAATCGAAAAATTGTTGATCCTGTGAAATTTAGCATGTTCTGTTATCTCCCCCCTTTTCTCTTCTGGGCTCGCTAACTATGAAGAAAAAAAATTCTAGTACATTCCCGTTATTGTGGTTTAGGCGAAAAACAGGAATTAGTGCACTTCTGTTTTGGTGAGAAACACATCATTATTGATACAATCAAGCAATTCATTTAATGTCTACAGGGCACAGTGTTTTTATTATATAAATATAGAAACAATTTAATATAAATTTTTAATTATTATTTTATTTAACAAAATTACATAAGCATTTCATTAAAAATAAACAACATATGGAAACAACCAAAATTCATTTTAAACATACACTTTCTTATGGCCATAATTATTCAGCAACTGCTCTTAATACTGTGCAAAACAAATTATCTTGACTAATGTGGTGCCTGAACACGCTAAGTAGGATTTCAGGTGATGATAAGCCATAGACCTGTGCTTACTGTTGCAATATTTTGCTGATCCTCGATAGCATATGTGTACAGATCAGCTATTTCTTGCCACGGTGGAAATGAACTAATTTCTGTTTCTAACCAAGACTGCTATAACAGGAATTTTTTTTACATTTTTATTTCCCCTCCCACATGCACACATTATTTCTGGCAATACTTAATACATAATTAACAGAACTTTTATTTTTTGCAATCTCCATCTCCTTTGTTTCTACTTAATACCTACATACACATGCAATAGCTAAAAGGCTCAAACTACATTTTCTGTCTCAAGCTCTAAAACATAATAACACTGTTTCCATCACACATGCAACTAATGTTTATTAGTCTTACAAAAACAATTTTAAAAAAAAAGTTATGCAGGGTGATGTACACACATGAAAATAAATCCACATCTTAAATTGCAACTCTTTAATTAACTATACATAAGCCATAACACATAATGCCATCTATTATATCATCTACAATATTCCTGCAACCAACTGCTGCTAGCTTAACTCTTACATAACTGAAACTTTTCCTACGATGAACTTAGTACTATTACAGTGCTCTCTAAATGAGATATCAACATATTCTCCATAAATGGCTGTTCAGGACATTAGTAAATTTTTATAATATTAAATTATCATAAATAATTACTTCTAAATAATACATAATATTACACTTAAAACTATTACATGAACTAACAAACAGAATTATTATAGATTATGCATTAATTTATCATTGCAATGAGTATCAGCTAATATTATTCTTTATAAATACATAATTTTTATAACAATTATATAGGGTTTTATAATTATTAGTTCATGCATTTAAAAGAGTGATACCAAGTTTTTCAAATGAATATAAGATTATAGTAAAATGTGCACTTGTTCACAATATTTAACTTTTCACAGGTATCAACTGCAGCTTATTAATGAGTCTCTTCAGCAAACCAACTATAGCTTTAATTTCACAATATTAATTTTGTTATCAGTATTACAGTACACTTTTATAATGCGACCCAGTTTTCAGTTTCAAAGGTGCTAAATTGTCTCTCTTAATTATCACCAGATCATTTAATTTAATAATTTGTTGAAGCATGATGCCATTTCATGCATATTTGAAGTTGATTTAGATAATTTCCCACATGATTTCTTAATAAAGGACCAAGATGTTTGCTGGACAAGTTTCCAGTGGTTATGAAGAGGTAATTTATCATTGCAACTATTTGGTTCTGAAATACCTTTAATGATGTTTCTATCAGAAAATTGCAAAGTGTAATTACACACATACACAAAAAAAAAAATCTGGATCACTTGAAGTTACTACTAATGGTCTCGATTTCAGACACACTCCAATTTCTGATAGTAGTAGAAAATTATTCAAAAGTTAGAACTTCTCATGTGGCGTTTCACAGCTTTCACGATAACTTGCCACAGTTCAAGTGCAGCATAGAAGGCAGATTAAAATTCCACTTAATTTTCCCTATATCAGATATCTATCTACTTTCTGGTCATAATACCTTCAACTCTCTATTTGCTTCTATAAAATTAGTACTGTAATCACTGTACATTTTCTCCAGTCTATCTCATCCAGCAATGAATCATTTTAAAGTTGCTATGAAGGAATCCGATATCATGTCTGCAACCTATTAGAAATGAATTTCCTGGGTAATGAAACACACCAAAACATAAACAGATCTTCACTGCTTGAACACTGCACCCCTTCTTGAGTTTAACTTGAAAAGGACCATAAAAATTGATTTCAAATTTTGAAAAAGCTATTCTGAGTTTCACTCTAGATGGTGGAAGATGCCCCATTACTCGGTATGACACTTCTATTTTCGAACAACTGCTCGTGCATTAACAATCCAAAATTTTTGTTTGATTTCTAATTGCAGCAATCTGTGTTTCTCCATGTAGATATTTATAGTAATAATGTTGTTTTATTAGTTCTGTAATATAGGGTGATTAAGGCAAAATGACTGGATATTTTACATTCTGTGCTATACTAGCATTGCTTAGGCTTCCTCTCATTCTAAGAGCACTTTCATAATCTACGCATGAATGCAACATACTGAGTCTATGGTGAGGGCTGAATGCTTTTTCCTTTTTCAAATGATCCATCTCTTAATTGAATTCCTGCATTTTTACAGACTTAATCATCAGAGAATAAGCTAGAGCTAGCTCTCTAATTTGATTCTGTCCCTCTCAAAATATTATTTGAGATGGTCAATAAATCTTTTATGAATCACCAAGCTGTAACTTGTATGAAGGAGTTCCTCATTCATGTAATTCTTAATCACAGCACAATGCACTACAGTATCTTTTAATTTTTATTTCTTCTGATAGTATAATCTTCATTAAATGTTCAGGCTATATTTTTTATTTTTCTCTCCCACCCAGTGAGATCCAAAAAAGAAAAAAAAAATCAACATTCATCTTCTAATAAACACTGACTTGGCACTTCTCTACCAACTAAATCAGCAGGATTATCTTTTACACTCAAACTTTTCAATAAGATTCTTAAAAACTTCTCCAAGATACTATTTTGGCTCCTGTGGCCACTGCCATTATTTCCAATCATGATAACATTAATTTTTCAAAGGAGCTCCTCTATTTTTTGACATAACTTCACCAAAATGCCATCTTTATATTTTAAATAAAGTATGCAACAGCACCATAAGTGAGAAGACAGCATTGCAAAACATGGGTATTTCCTTTTTTAAACTAAATTCTTACAATACATTAATAAATTTCTCTGATTAAAAATATCCTTTATGTATTTAATCTCGAACACCAGTCAATCCATTTGATCTTAAGATCATATGGCAATTCATCATTTCAAATGATACAGCACATTCAAGTTTCCTGATGCAACCACTTAACCTTTTAACTGTCATGCCCGAGATACTGGTGTTCGAAAATGTCACGCCCGAGCATTACTCGGGGTAATTTTTTTTTGAGTGCATCATATTGTTATACACGAATATATATCGGGAGACGTTTATTTCGGCTTCATCTCTTTGTCAAACCCGACTGAATCTCTGGAAAAGTTAATGTGCGCTCAGTTCAATAGATGACAGCACTTTACTGAAGATTTCAAAGGTTAGAGGTTATAAGTTCTTTGGTTCAAAGTGCATGGGATCTTTTTGTTGTAAAATGGCATCCAGTTCTTTGAAACGTTATATAGATGATTTAGATTCTTCAACCGAAGATGAAGGATGTGTGTTTGATGAGCAGTATTCATGATACTTCCATGGTCAGCCTCAAAAATAAAAAAATGGAGATATACTCAGTCGAAGATTGTTTCTAATTACAGTCTAACTATGGGTGGTGTAGATCGCTGTGATTAAGAAATATCATTTCATCCAACAATCCGAAAACGTCAGAAAAAATATTATAAAAAGAGATTTTTACATTTACTAGACAAGGTACTCTGGAACTCATATTTGCTCTATAAAAATGTAGTTGGAAAAAACGTATTACATTTTAGAATTTCAAATCCAAGTTGAAGAAGAGCTTTTACATAAATATGATGATGCAGCTTCTGGACAAAAGAATGTTGGCAGACCACCTACAATAGATAACCCTGCCCGACTTCCTGAACGACATTTTATATCCCATATTCCTCCTACTCCTGCGAAACGTGAGCCTAGACAGTGCAAAGTGTGTTGTTCGAAAAAGGATAAAAATGGGGAAAAGATAAGGAAGGAATCACGATTCTGGCGTAGTGATTGTGGAGTTGGTTTGTGCTTGGAAAAGTGTTTCCAGTTGTACCACACATGACTGAATTACTAATAGGTATTCACTTATATTTATTTATTTTTTAGAAAATAATTAATTTTTTTCATTTTTAGAAAATAGTGCTCCACTAGAA